CTAGCAGTTTATGGGAGTGAGGAATGACCTTATTTGCAACCAAAGTGAAGCTCCCCAGCACCCCGGTTTCTATTTCCAATGCTGCTTTCTTCCACTCCAAGCACACATAAATTCACATTTGAAAAATATTTTCCAGCTTCTCCTATTTCTTGGAAGGCAGAACCTTTCCTTTAACTGCTCCATCACATCCAAACTCTGCTTAATAAGACTCCTGCTGCTTACTCACGGCTGTAAGTATCCCTGTCCAGTCCACAGGTACCCTTTAAGTTTCAAAGCCCAGAAGATGAAAGGATTGAATCTTTCCTTGTTCCAAATCTGTATTTACTGACCTGAGTGTTTGAAGTCTAAAGACTACAGAACGACTGCCGGCTCCCCGGGAAGGAAATCTCGATGTGGAGAGGGGAAAAGGTGAGCTGCTTCAGACAAACCACTTCTTACAGCTCCCTCCTCTCAGGGCTGAATACTTGGCTTTGGAAAAGCTTTTTAATCCCACACTTGGGAATTGGTTCTCTTCTGGAAATATGTTACTATTTATTTCCATTGCCTTCAGCTGTCTCTTCCCTCCCTCCCCTCCTCCTGCTGCTGCAAAAGAGACTGAGGAAAATCCAAGAGGAATGACTTTCAGACCACCCAAACACAACAACTGAGGGAGGTGAAGGCAGCTAAAGAAAACTAACAGCACTGAAGCACTCATTTGTGCATCGGTTCCTTACCACCTGGTCTTCTCAGGTCGTTTCTATTAGACTCTACATGTGCCAAGCCACCTGCAGTGGTCCCCCAATGTATTTCTACCACACGAACCATCATAGGCCTGTTGTTATCATTTGGGAAACAGCTGAGAGCCAAGCTCATAACAACAATATCAACTTTCCTCCTGATAAATATCTGGCTCTGTTCCTGCCTTCCCAGGTTTCTCAGCTGAGTTTCTCTTCCTGCCCTGATTATTCATTCCTGCAAGGCTTAGCACTGCCAGCCCGTTAGCCCCGTCTGTGTGCCAGCCAAGGAATTCAGGCAGGTCTGTCTACTGCTCTTTCCCATTCTCTGCTGCACGGGTCGCATTCTTATGCTGGTGTTAAAGGGCTCTATTAATGACAAATGGTTTATTGACCGTGGAGGTCCTTTTCTTCTGCCAGATAATGACACAGAGTCACTTGGATGCAGTTTGGGTGCATTTCAAAATACAAAGTCAGCCACTTTGCAAGAAACTGAGTTTGAATAATAGTTACTGGGATACCACATCAGACATAGGAAGCCCAATAAAAACATGAAAACATAAAAATCTGGTCCAAAAAAGGGGCAGATGAAAGTTAGGAACTGAGAGTAACCACGAGGAACTTCCTCCTTCTTAGTCTGGTCAAAGGACAAATCCAGGTCAGTTTGTGTTTTACAGTGTGAAGAGCACAGCATGGAGAGAAGGGCACACTGTCCTAAAACGCCTGCCAGCATTTGCTGGGAGAAGTGAGGAGGGGAAGGAGGACTGGTTTGTGTGTTGAACATCCCAAGCCTTTATCCCTTGGTTGGCAGGAGGGATTTAAGAGCACCAAAACTATATTTGCAGAAGAAAAAGAAAACATCCTCCCAGCACACTGAGCCTCAGCACACTGAATATTGAGGTCTCATTGCACTGACCTCACTTCTGTGTGTGGGATGAGCTTTACACAGTTGTGGTTTCTGCTCAGAGGACATTCACCTTCTTTCCATGGTACCAACGCACACCGTGCTGCAGATCTGAATGCTCTCTGCCAACATCTCTCATGTCCTTCATGGGAATTGAAGAAGACTCCTCTTGAGAAAGCTGCAACACTAATGAAAGGGGTCTATCGGCCACCATGCTCATCACTTGCCTCATCTGACTTTAGCAGAGGTGAACGCGCTTCAGTCCTGCTCCCATCCCATACTAATTTAACTGATGCTTTACCCGCCCTCCTTGCTGCTAAAGGGGCTTCTCCATGTGGAGCCTGGTTTGCCCCTTCTGCGCTCTGCCTGGCTCGCAGAGCAAGCTGGGGGCTGATCCCGCACCTCAGAGCACATCACCAGGGAGCAGGAGACCTGCTCAGCACCTCGTGCCACCCGGCTGCACCCGTCCACTCAGCAATGTCTAGGGCTGAGGCTTGTGAAATTTGTCTGGAGTTATTTTAAGGCTCATGATCACCATGTGTTAGCATGAGGGTGCTGAGGCGCTGGCACAGGGTGCCCAGAGAAGCTGTGGCTGCCCCATCCCTGGCAGTGTTCAAGGCCAGGTTGGACACAGGGGCTTGGAGCAACCTGCTCTAGTGGAAGGTGTCCCTGCCCGTGGCAGGGGTTGGAGCTGGAGGAGCTTTAAGGTCCCTTCTAACACAAACCAGTCTGGGATTCTAGCATAGGAATACATCCCCCTTACGCACACAGAGCCAGGGCAGCCTTCCCCTGCCTCTCCCGCATCTGCTCATAAATTTGACGAGTATTTGAAAAGATGCACCGAGAATCTCTGAATGACCAAATCAGCACCAGCAGTGGACTTGAGAAGATGAAAATTGAGGAAGACAAAAAGTTTTACTTTATTTTATGCACTATGCACAATATCGAACTTGACCAAATACTAAAGTGATGTGAAAATTAACAATAACAACAACAACAAAATTGCTTTCCAAACACTTCCTCTACATTCCCTCATCTCCCTGGGCCACTGCAGTGTATTCACCAAGTTATTTATATAGATATGTTCCTATGGAAGCATAGAAATACTTTACCAAAGATAACTCCATCTCTAGGTAGCAAAAGCACTCCTGAAAATGAAGTCTAAATGAAATTAAAAATTAACAACTCTAAGGAGCCACATATGAGGCGATGGCTTTTCAATCCAGCCCCAGGGAATGGCATTTCACAAGCCCCCTCTAAGTTCTTTATATATGAAAAAAGCTTTGCTTGCAGGGATGTTTGTTGTGGTCTAGGAATAAACACGTGCTGCTGGTCAGCTTCTCTAGCACCTTCCTTTTGTCCCGAGTGATATAGGAAATGAGCATCACTCCAGCCAGAGGTGCAACAGGGCAGAACCATTGTCTGGATGTACACACGGTGTATCTGCTGCGGTGAGTTTTCATAGAACCCTAGAAAGGTTTGTGTTGAAGGGACCTCAAAGCTCATCCAGCTCCAAGCCCCTGCCACGGGCAGGGACACCTTCCACTAGAGCAGGTTGCTCCAAGCCCCTGTGTCCAACCTGGCCTTGAAGACTGCCAGGGATGGGGCAGCCACAGCTTCTCTGGGCACCCTGTGCCAGCGCCTCAGCACCCTCACAGGTGCTGCCTCAGAGCTCATCTCAATCTCCCCTCTGGCAGGTTAAAGCCATTCCCCTTGTCCTGTCCCTCCATCCCTTGTCCAAAGCCCCTCTCCAGGTCTCCTGGAGCCCCTTTAGGCACTGGAGCTGCTCTAAGGTGTCCCCTTCAGGAGCCTTCTCTTCTCCAGGCTATTTTCCTACACAAGGTCTATATGCAGCCTGTGCATGGTCCATGCAACATACCAGAGGCCCGTGTTACCTCCAGCTCCAACACAGCCTGAATTCTGCAAGCATTCAGCAGAACAGACCAAGAAAACAATATTGGTTTCATGAATTGACAATAAAACTCACAAGGCATTATATTATACTGGAGGTCAGGAAACTGTAGCGTGAAAGCTTGAATTGTGTCCAGTGTCAGTAAATGCCAGCAATGTTCCATGGAGCACAACGCAGCTTTGAAACCGAGGGGGAAACCAGTGGTACAAGAAATCGATTGTATCAATACCAGAGCTCTATGTTCTATCTGTAATGGAGGATCAGCACTTTGCCCAAGCTGAATGTATAGTCGCTATACATCAGAATACTCTTCTGCTGAAGTGATGATGGCTAGATCTAGAAAAGGACTTGTTTTTAAAGAAAGACATGCAGAAATGGTACAACCTACACCAAAAGAATCAGTCCTCAGTGGAACAGCACTGATTTACTGTAAGTCCAGAAATAAAGGTGGAATTCATGCTAATTTTTACACATTACCCCCTGAACTGAGTGGTTTGGAAGGCGTGTGCAGCCTCAGCTTACACGATTTAAGCCAGTCTGTGTTATGGATTGCATCTTGTAAAGATCATCCCGTTTATCTCCTGGGAAGGTTTTGCCTTCACGTGTCACATCCTGTGCTCCTCATCCCTACAAGCCTGAACACTTCAGTGGGAGACTCCGTCAACTCCATCTGCACAGCCAGTTTCATAACCCAACGATGCGTCCTGATGCAGTTTACAAACAACCCGCATCCATCCCGCGGCTCCAAGTACTCAAGTTACATCCGATTCAACTAAAATAACAACTAAATAATAGGAATGCTGAAGGACAAATCCTACCAGGTGTATTGTTACTTCTCGACAGCCACTCCCATCCTCCAAAGACAAAACTAAAAGCCCACCCTAGGGTCGGCTTAGCACGCTGTTAAGCTACAAGTATCCCCCTCTTTAGCCAGTTTATTAGTAATGATAACTAAAAGCATCTCTTAAAACGAGCGAGGAGCTCCTGCTCTGCCGACATCTGATCATAGATCCGATTTTCAGGGCTCTGACATTCCCGGCTTTACTTCCCAGGGCATTTCACCGGGACACGGCGCCCGGACGGGACCGCAATCAGGGATTTCTCCCACATTTCTCGAAGTCCCGCACCCGTACTGGCTTCCCCGGGTTTGCAACCAGCTTCCCTCATGTACCAGCCCGGCAGCATCCCTTCTGTAGGCGGAGGGACGGGGGAGGGCGGAGATGTTTAGTTTTGAAGTTGGATATAGGGCTGTTTTCCTTCTTCCCTGACACTTGGCAGACGAAGCCCAGCGCTGCATTCCCGCTCTACTTTCTCACTGAACCGGAGCACCAGGCTGGAGCCAGCCCTTCCCTTGGCCCCTCTCCTCCCTGGTCCAGCCAGAAGCTCCAGTCCGGGCGGAGGGGACAGACGACGATGGGGCCGAAGCCTCACCGCGGGGTCCCCGTCCCTGCAGTCCCCGCTCTCCCCTTACCCTGCCCGCATGCTCCGCGCTGGATGGCGATGATGGGCGGCTGGC